CCTTGGCCATCTCATCAACCAAGAGAGTTGAACTTTTTTTAGTTGATGTATTTTTAGACCAAGCTCAGCTTGATTCTGAATAGTTGGATGTTTGGGGTACTTTGTTCAATACTAGTTTTCCATGTCGCAATCCAAAAAAGGAAACAAAATGGTTGTAAAGGTGGTTGCAATCATTTTTATATGACGCAAAGATGGTAGCAACCATCATCAAAAGTTGTAGCTGGTATCCTTATTCAATACATTATAGCTGAGTGACATGTATCATTATAAATTTCCTGCTAGAAAAAGTACATTTCCTCGATCACTCTGCCCTGCTTTCCAAACCAATAAGCATATAGTGTAACAAAGGGGTTACTAATCACTTTCACAAATCCTAGGCGCTTATTGGTTGAGAGACAGAATGCTATGGGTGTACAAAGTAGTTTGGGATTTGGAATTCTTTGACAGGCTGGCCCAAATTCACTTTGGAATTTGGACAGCATGTATGTTAATTATTTTATTTAAATATAAATAAATCCCATTTTTGCAGTTATGCAATTCCATTTTTGATACCAAGACATCATAATTATAATTGCAGACGGTTGCAGAAGTTGCAGAAAAGGTTGCAACTCGAGCTTTAAAATCTGCAGTTTCAGAAAATGTGAAAACAGTTACAGAAATCAACTTTGCATGGTTGTGGTTACACATAAATGATACATTTGTAAAGTCCTTTCAGATTCTACATATTCACAAGAATTTGCCTCAACATTTATTTTATCATTATTAATATTCGAATTATTCACTACTGTAATGATTGATTCTACAGTAAGGTCCACCTGTGAAAGATCAACTGGAGCAATAAGTAAAAACAATTACATTTGATAGGCGACCAATCCGGATTTTCGTAAAAAAATCCAGGTTGAGAGATAGCTTTTTTAAAAGTAAAAGGCTGTCAGGTTGCGAATCGAAATTATAAGATTTCTGGATGGTCCGTGCAATTATGTATTTTTGTAACATCAAAAAAAAAAATTTTTTTTTGTGACGTTAAAATAATTGTCAGTTGAAACACCTACACTTTTTTAATTTTTAATACATCAAGCCAAAATCTATCTTCAGATGAAGTAAATGAATATTTAAAAGAAGTTGAGATTGGATTTAATTCTAGTCTTTTTGATCAGTGGAATTACAAAAAAATACAAGTACCTTCTTCTTGCAAAACTTGCTCGCCAATACCTTTCTGTCCCAGCAATTTCAACGCCAAGTGAATTTTATTGACTTCACGTTTATATCTGGAATTATTTAAACGAATGTTGTTTTTTAAAAGTAATGCAAGTTGTGTTAAATTTATTCATCCCACCGAATTAATTTCAATATAATAAATATAAATGAATCATCACGAATTATCAAAATTATTTGCTTTTAACAATATTTTTACCAATACTAATCTAATATTATTGGTTTATTAATATTAATTCAATCCGTTTAATCCGTGTATCATCCGGATCACAGATTTTACGGATTGGGATTATTCGTTGAATCCGATGTATTATAGATTTTTTATTTTTGAGAAATTACTGGATGACGGATTAATTTTAGAGGTAAATGACGGATAAACGGATGACAGATATCTATGGAACTCATCACTAACATTTGACGATACGACCTGAGAAAATATAGTACAAAATGTTAAAATTTGCATGTTTATATATTATTAATATTTACATTATGTCAAAGTCAAAATTATCTGAATCAACCTTCCTCATCTTCACGAATTGTAAATTTTCCATTGATTTTTAATCGTCATTTGGATAAAAACCAATGGGATAGAAAATAATTTCCATGTCTCTAAATGTTGACCTACAAATTTCTACAGTTACAAAAAAGTCTTTTTTTGGAATTTCATTATGTTAATGTATGTAAAGAATGGAGCCAATTCTGGAAGCATTATTTTTTTAATTTTTTTTTTTTTGTTAATTAAAGTAATTGTTAAAGTAAAAAAAAAAAAAAAAAAAAAGACTAATTGACCAAAAGTTTTTTTTTTAGAGGATTTAACTGTTTCACGAATAATATTAAATGTGTAAACTAAAAATTTTGTGTATTTTAACAAATTCATATGAAATAACGGTTTTACAGATTTTTTTTTTTTTTTTAACGAATCCAAGGCATTAATGTGAAGATAATTTTTAACAAATTCATATGAAATAATTTAACGGTTTCACGAATACTTGTTTTTTAACGAATATTAATATAGAAATAATTTAACGGTTTCACGATACTTTGAAATATAAAATTTAATGGTTTCACCGGGCCAAAATTTTTAAATATGAAGTATGGTAATTTAATAGTTTCACGGATACTTTTTGTTTATATATTATATTTAATAAAAAAAATAAATCACAAATAAATCAATATATTCTTAATAATATGTTGCACAAAATTTAGTAAGTTTTAATCTAAAATCCTTATTATTATGCGTAATTTCATCATCATACTTTTTTTTTGTATATTTTGTAAGAGTTAATAAGTGCAGTATCCAACAACCAGAAAAGGATGCCATTTAAGTTCTTCTAACCTTTGATTGAACTGAATAATAACTTCTCAATTGGTCCACAATATCACACCACCCATATGATGATTGGATTGGTAATAACTCCTTAGTCTCATTATCAAAAAAGACTTTCTTTACTTTGACCGCATTGGTGCTAGTCAAACGTGGGTGACTTCGAAGTCTATTTATTCTATTTTCACCACCAACAATATTATGTACTGTGGATAACATTGTAACAGGGCCATTATCCATCCATAATACAGCTAAAATATTATCAACAACAACACCAGAAAGAGTGTCCCAATCTAATTTTTATTTTTTATTTTAAGGGCCGAAGGGAATCGGTACGAACAGTTCCTTTTTCACGCAAAACTTAAATAACTGGATGCTTGTAAAATAATTGTCCATATAAATATTGAATGCTTTTATCAGAAGGTAATTTGGAAGCTAAATGATAAAATTGGCTTTCTATTTTATTCAGGGTTTTTATTTGTTAAACCTCGCCCTTTTTTTCAATTCTTGAAGTAAAAATGAAAAAGAATGTATAACCTTAATCACATAAAGCTAGAACTTTATACCCTTCTGGTGTTGGCTTATACTTTATTTTAAAAGTATGTGCACTTCTACCACAAAATCTTACAATCATTTCATCTATAGGAACGTTAGATGATGGAACATAACCTGATTGTGATACTTCATTTATATGAGATGCTAATGGTTCAACTTTGGAATACCAAAATAGATGATCCTTGTTCTATATCAGAAATATGCAAAAAAAAATTCATTTTTTCAAAATTTCTAATATTCATATATGATGCAATGGAATGTGTTAACATTTCATCTTTTTGATTCCATAAATCTCGAATAGATGGCATTTTGAATAATCCTACATAAATGATTATTCCTAACCAAATTTTCAGGTCAAATAAAATCAATATTTGTCCACAAATCTCCATTTTTATTCATTCCGCATTTATTTATTAGTATTTGATACAATTGTTGCTAAGATAAATCTGAGAAAAATAATTTAAAAATCTGGTAAGGGCTAACTGAATCGAGTTTATTAAATTCGTTTGACAATTTATCTTCAGAATCATATAGTGGATTTTGATGATTAAGTCGACTAAATAATGGTGGGGTGGAGAAATTACACAAATACAACAAATTGACCTTCCAAATCTAATATTTCTTGTTCTAGTTGTTGGAATTTCGTCTATCTCCGTTTCCTCATTGCCTACGCCACCAGTTCGATTACCATCTTCTAAATTGTCAAGCTATTCAAGTGATTCATCTTATAATGATTTGTTTCGTTATCAGAATCTAGATTTTTTTCAAACTCTTTTATTTTTTTTATTTTAGAGATAACTATCCACAAATTGAATTTCTTAATTAATTTTTAACTTTAAAGCTTCTTCTACTTGGACTTATTTATAGAAAATTTTGAACAAGTTTTATTGATAAAAATTCATTTAAGACAATATTTTGTTTGTATGATTCATCACGGCAACATTTTTAAACTTGCACCATTTAAATTTTGGAATAAAAATCGTAATTTGGAAATTTTGTATTCCGTGGATAAAACATAATAAAATTTACACAATAATGACTTTTTTTTATTTCACATAGAGATACTATTTGAGAAGGTTTTGTAAATAGTACACACAACACTCAGAGGTACATTGCAAAACTTTTATTTGTTGTAAAATATCTGAATTCCAATTTTGGCCCAAAATTCGTTTAAAAGATAAATCAAAAGATAAAAACCATTTTTTTTGGCAATATATTCATAAATTTTATCATGATCATGTGTCAACTAAAAATTTGAATTAAATCATTGACTTTTACCATTTGGAAATTTGGAAGAAAAAGAAAACTTTATCATGTTGTTTTCTATTCAAGAATTGAATAGTTGAAGATTGAGATGAAAATAAAACATTATTTTATTATTTTATAAATTGCAATTTTTTACACTTTTATATAAAAAAATTATTTTATTATTTTATAAATTGCAATTTTTACACTTTTATATAAAAAAATAAATCTAATTGATTTCAATTAAAATAAAAATTGTTTAATTATTTTTTCTTAGCTTTTGGCATCCACCATGCCTCACAGATAGTGACTGCTGATCAGCTTAATTAAAGACTAGTGCCGTAAATTATGATGATGGTGGTTATATTTACGGCATATAAAAAGTGGTTGCAATTACCTTTGCGACCACTTTTGCAACCATGCCTTTTCCTTTTTTGGATTACGGCACTAGTCTTTAGGCTTAATATCCTCACTATCGAAAATTTGGTTAAATGTATGATTATTAACCCATAATTTTTCTTCAATTATTTTAACGTCCTATTTAAATAATATTGATGAATAAATTATTATAATTCATATCAAAATACATATATATAAACCTTTATTATAACAAGAACCACCCCTGTCTTACCAAAACAAGATTCAAAAGCTTTAAAAGCTTTTATTGAGCCTTTAAGGTTTCTGATTTGATTAATTTTCGTAGAATGTCAAATCTATATCCTGGAAATACCATATAAAAGCCTTCAACCAGGTCTTCAAGCATTACTTCACCACTGGTCTCATAGTGTTCCATGTCACAATCCAAAAAAGGAAACAAAATGGTCGTAAAGGTGGTTGCAACCAGTGGTTGCAATCATTTTTATATGACGCAAAGGTGGTAGCAACCATCATCAAAAGTTGCAGCCGGTATCCTTATGGTCTCAGCCAATTCATTTAAACTTAACAATCTATTACTGTAAAGGCTGGAAAGATAGCATCCCCTTTTTACATATGTGTAACAATTTTTATATTGACACTCAATTATTTAAAGGAGGGGTGCTATCTTTCAAGACTTTACGGTAAGAATAGATTGATTTATTCTTGCAGATCTACATCGATCATTAATAACCTTTGCAGGTTTGGAATAGGCAGCAAATTCCCATTCAGAGAGGTCTATTCCAAATGGCGACAAAAACCTCACATCGCATCTTCGCCATTTTTATATTCTTTTAGTGGACAAAATGACTCACCCCTTTAATATACAAATGTACATATAGTTAGTAAATAATCAAAGTGAAATCAATCACATGCGGATTACTAACCATTTCAAACCTATTCCGGTGCATGTTATTAATGTTTCAATGTGGATATACCAACAAGCTTTTATAATGACATCTATTTCTATGTGAGAATTGCCTTCATAGTCCACAATATCATCTATATTACTGCTTTTAAAAATATTAACAAAAATTAATTAGTATTATAAAAAATTAATTAGTATTATAGAAAATAAAAATGAAATCACAAAAGATTTATAAACTTACAAGTCACTGTATATTTTGCTTATCTTAAATGAATATTTAAAGACATAAATAGTCTTCCCATCAATCACCATCTGTATTCATAAATAATAAAAATGTAAGTATTAAATCAAAGCAAAGATAAAGTGAAAAGTAAATGAAAGAGGAAACCACAAACGTTTTCAACGGTTGAAATAAAATCATTAATCTTAAATACAGACTAGAGTAATGACAAGTGGTGATAACCACCACCACCATTCTTAAAACACTTATCCGTATATTTTTTCTGCTTCTTTTTCTTGATTTCTTTTATTGTTTATAAAATAAGAAGTTTGTTATTTGATCGACAAACGCATCATTAATTATTTATTACATCTATATATAACGAATTATTGGGACCAGTTAGAAAATTGTACTACATTAAGTAATGTGGAATAAAAAAATTTTTATGATTACATAAAAAATATTATTCAATATTAATAATATTAATTAATATTTAAAAAACAGTAATATAGATTGTTTTGTTGAATTGAATTTTATTTTTTTGATTTTCTTTTTGATATTTTTTAACTGTTTCAATTCCTTGTAAATTCCTTAAACTGTTGTTCAAACAAACAAGTTTACTTTTTCAATAGCCAATAAAGCATCTTGACTTGAAATAGGAGATATGTCTCTTCGATGTCTTCTTCATCCTAATTTTCTTCATTAAAATTCGACATAGAAATTATTTCTTCTTCATTCACCAAATCATCATCATCTACATTTTTTTCCGTTTCATCAATACTTTTAGTTCATTACATTATACCTTATGTCATTTATTTCAAATAATTGTTTTAATTTTTTTTGGATTTTTATAGACAACATTTTTTATTTTTTTATTTTGCGATTACGGGTAATAGTAATTTTTAGATTTGGAGATATCTGCATTTTATTTCAGATCACGTGAATCCGTTATAGGTAGTGTTGGGTAGTGTTGATTTATATGTAAGTCATATGAAGTGATTTCAGATACAATCCATTATACGTAATAAAAAGTTTAATTAATAATATCCGTTATAGAAAGAGATTTCAAATAGTAAAAAATCGGGACCAAACTTTTAATCCGTTATAGAGAAAAATCCGTTATATTAATATATAGAAAGATCCGTTATTAGTCGTGTGACATTTCCTTGAGGCTGCTTTTTTATATTAATGTGAAAATAAATTCGAAATCCGTGACACATGAAGTTTTTTTAAAATATCTCCAACTTCATTGTTAGAGTAAAATGAAAATACTCCATTAAAGCTTTCTAATGAATACTTTTTCATATCGAAAGGTTTCCTCTACATGAATTCACGGCTATTCAAAAACGGTATTACTTTTTCACTTCAAACCTCAGATTATTTCTCAACATCGCTTTAAAAGACTTGATAGTAAATGAAGAAGGTGTAGAATACTTTAAGCTTTCATATGGTCGTTACTTTATGGGGGTATTGGTTAATAAGTTTTAGAGAGGTTCACGAAAACTATTTTATAGAAATTTTAATAGTCGTGAAGAATTTATGTAGATGGGATTCAGCAAAAACTAAAAGGTATTTTATTAATAATTGTTTTATATTTCCGACTTTATATTGATTAAATTTCATTAATGATTATTATGAATATCCATCCAATCAGTAGTTGTTATAGCAACATTAAACAATAATATGCAAACAACGACAACGAATCATCTTTTTTGAGGATGATAATAAAGATTAAGATCCAGTTTGTATAGGAGTGGTGAAGTAAGCAATAAGGACAAGATCTATGAACAAAATATACTAACGAACGTTTTATCAACTATTCAATAATTTGTATAGGAATGATCGAAGTAAGCATTAAGGACAAGATCTATGAACAAAACATACCAACAAACGTTTTATCAATTATTCAATAGTTATGTTTATTATTTATTTGTGTATATTCTTTATATTTACTTTTAAAATAAATGATTTTACTATAAAAGACATACCTAATTGATCAAATCTGTAAATATTCATAATAATGTAAATTTAGACCTATTCCAAAAATTCTTTATCAAAAACAAATCACTTTTTAAATACTACAATAATGACAATATATTAACTTTATGGAGTTATTTTAGTAAAGCCTGGAGATAACACAAAGAATTTTTGGAATCATTTGGCAACTTTTGGAAACAATGATGCTTTTGATAAAAAAGAAGGTCTATGTGAAAGTTTTTGCACAAGAATCTCAGATGGAAAGTCACCACAAAATATAAATATCTTACAAATTTTTAACAATATTATCAAGTACTCATCCACAGCATATTTGTTTGTTTCAAGAAAATCTTGCAGGAAGAAAGTAAATTTAAATAAACATCAATATCAAAAACGTTTTACTAAATTTTAAATTTAATGCAGAATCAACCATTACAAATATTTCATCATTATATCCAGCAATTAAGGGAGGACTTGCTTTTGCATTAACTAATTCTAAAATTCACCTTGTTCAATTTCTAGCATTATATTATTACTCAACTACAGGAAATTATCATTCTTATGCAAAGAACCAATAACTGATGTTGATATCATTTCAATGTTTTCTGTAAAGTATATATTCATCTTCAAAATAATATTTTTTATTCAACAAGTGAAGATGAACATGAATTGTTCTTACATTTATTATCAAAGCAAATCATTTATTATTTTGGTAGTTAGGTTTCAATTAATGTGAATATTATGGATAGTATGGATATGATTACTATTCAACTGCATTTAAAATTTATAAACTCTAACAGATGAAAAGACTTCATTGTCTATTTTGGATTGTTTAAATATTTAACTAATTACATATTTTTGGATGTAGTGTGAAAATTTCAGGGTCATTCTCTCTTATCGACCTCAAATATGATGCTAAATATTTTTGGCGTGGGTTGAGAAGATCCCGGAGGTCCTATTAATAGAAAATTTAAAGGAATCCTTAAGCCTAAAACATTACTAATGATGATATCGAGAGACAATTGAAAAATTTTATATATATTTAAATTTTTTCTATATTACATATTCTAAACTTTATTCAAATCAAGCTATAGAATTGGGAAAAACTACCGAATGCTATTATTAGTTTAATAGGTTGTTGATTATTTATTGCGAATAATTTTTAAGATTCAGAGTGAATACTTGTATTAAAATGATGGGAAAAAAAGAAATCAGTATGAAAATGTTGTGCGAAATCAAATTTGCGTCAATTTGAATTAAATTTTGGGATGGGTGTTTGAATACAAAATTCTGATTGGCTAATTTGAATTTCACGCGCGTGAATTTCAAATTGACGCAGATTCCAAATTCACGCACAACATTAAAACATGTTGCTTTTACTTATTAATGTCTTCTTCTTTTAGAGATATGTGCTACATGTAAACAAGAAGGTCATTAAAGGTCAACATCCAAGAAATGTAAATCCCCAAGTTGGCTTGTAAAAAACAGATTATTAAGGATGCTATGTTGACTCTACTGTGAAGATGTGATTTAATTCTTTTCTTGCAGAACCTGAATTACATTAGAGTTATTGCATGCAGTAATGGAAAAATCAGAATGGTTGCCGAGTTTAAAATAGCAGCATGTAAATGCCATTACTTTAACAGCCATTCTTGATTTTTTAGTTATTCTTGATGTAATTATTGCATGTTTCTGCATGCGACAATTGGTTCATTGTATGTCTGACTACAAAACAGATAATGGAAAATTTAGCATGTCTCATTTCATAGGCAGGCATACAATAAATAATCTTATTGAAGATGCGGTTGAAAGAATGGCATAAATTACAGCAGAAGCATCACAACTTGCACAGGCGCTAATTATATATTGTGTTGAAAATAATGTACCAGTTTCCAAGGTTAATTTACGATCACGGTTGCACAAGAAATTTTTTTACTACAGTCTGTCATCAATCAGCAGGTCAAGAAAATTCCCAAAGACCACATCATCGTCACTTATCAATCATGTATGTGGCACTAGAACAAGCCTTGGAATGATAATGGATACATTTACATTTATTTTCTTTTATATTCCCTTACTGTTATGTTTAAATACACTTGCGCCTGGATGATGGTAAAACTTTACTTGATTTGAAATCACAATAATTGTCTAAGGCCAAGAAGTTGTGATTAATCAAAGTAATAGTTTCCCCACTAGACTTGGGTTATTGTGGTGAGGTCGGAGAAAAGTTTTAATCACATCATGTAGAGTAGAAGAAACCTTACCTTTTTAGGAGAGATGTTCAAGCAAGAGAACAAATAAGAAGGCCTTCAGCTTATTTGACCTTGCACCCATCACCGGTTTCAAAAGCAGATGCATTCCAATCCAAACCAATGCTCTTTTTGATTTGGTTCATTCAATTGATTTTGCTGGCTTGGGAAAAAGCATGGACTAACAATGACAGAATTTGGAAATGATATCTTAAGCTGGTGGAGACTAACATTTAATATTGATAGGGTGAATACTTATTTTAATCTACAATATTTTCTTCACTTGTAAAACTCGATTCTTTTTTCAAAAGTGATTACATAACCTAGTGATGATACAAGGAGGCAAATATTTGGCCTTAGCATCGTGACAGATGCTGTGAGTGTTTCCATTCTTGTGACAAAGCCAACAATCCAGTGGAATGATGTGAATGACTATGATTTTGATCAAGATGGGTGTGCTGGGCTGGGTTCAGGAAGAAAAACCTTATTTGTTGCTTTCGTATGATGTGGATAGAAGAAAATTGATAAAGAAATCATACAGTGAAAATAATAATAAGAGATTAGTCAAATTGATACAAGATAAACTGATATTTATCTTAATTAAGTCTAACTGTATCTTGGAACATTTCAACAGCTCTTCCAACTTCATCTGTCACCTCAGTTGCTCAACAGAAAGAATATCTGCATTATTTCCTTGAGCACATTCCAACACTGCTTGAATTTCATAGTACTAGCATCATGAAATTTTCCCCGCCGCAATATTATGTCCATAAATTTTAATATGTAAAGTTGTAATATTTGCAATAAAAATTATGTAATATTTACACTTGATGTAATAATTGCATAATTTTTGTATGCTTATTTGCATAATATTACGGGCCCGCCGTAAACTTACGTAAATAGTGTAATAATTACGTAAATTTGCGTCAGAAAAATTTCCTGATGAGGCCCTATAAAAAATTTTGTCAGAAAATGTATGGTTTTTCCGTGCAGTTTGTATGGAATATGTACAGAAATATACACGAAAAGAGCGCTTTTCCATGCATATTTGTCCTATAAATGACCTGAAAAAATTACATTCCATGCATTTTCCGTAATTGCTATGCACAGAAAATGCAAGGAAAGTGCACAGGAAAGTGCACTGAATTTTAGGTCATTTTCCGAAAATTCATGTATTTTCCATGTATTTTCCATACATTTTCAGTGCAAATATGAACGGGAAAGCGCGGAAAATGTAAGGAAAGCCATACATTTTTTGACAAATTTTTTTATAGAGAGGCACTGCACAATCTTTGTTTAAGACACAGAAGCCTTACCATGAAATTGTTACAAGAATAACTGGTGAATGGCCAAGAACAGTTTCTCATCCAGTAGACGTAGAAATTTATCTGAACCTGAAAAATCATGTCGAGCTAGGAAATATGATGAATTCAGAAATTCCATTATCTGTTCTTGTTGTGATGGACAAATGGAGATTATTATTATTATTATTATTATTATTAAATAAAAACGTTATTTGCTAACTAATATTCATACTTGTTAGACAAGATACTGATATAAAACAGAAATTTCTTACCGAAACGTTAGCAAAATCTCCACGGAGAAAAGAAAAATGTTTAATATAAATATATAGTACGTTTCAACCAATCCTACTGGTCATTTACACTTTGCCCATTTTCGGCATGCCATTATTGGCAATACTCGCGGTGGGCAAATCATTTCCCTGTTTACTATTTTTATCACATATAAAAAAAAAATCTGTGACACTTCAATTTTGGTAACTATTATGCACAACATTTTGGGTAAACAAAAAAAAATGTATGGTAAAGAATGAATTCAAAAAAATGAATTTGTGTAATTTTGCGGGAATCGATGGATATATTCATTTGTTTAATTTTACCATTACATATTTATATAAATCACACAATAAATCTTAATATATAATAATTGATAATTGATAACCAATATAACCAATATAGAACTATCTTTAATTTTAAAAAATATAATTTCTCTAAATAAATTATTCTAATCAACAATATTCAAATATGTCATCGAAAAGTTTTGAAAAGCCATTATCAGAAATTGGTAAGATATTTAAAAAACTTAAAAGGTAATAATAATATTTAATAATTAAGCATTAATTCTGTTTTTTGAAATTTAAATAATAATTCATTTTCTTTTATAATTAGAATGTCATATCATCATAATAATCATCCTCAAGAAGATAAAACAAAAGAAAAAAAACAAAAGAAATCACATAAAAAAGCAACAAAAAGAGCTAGTATGCCAATACTATCATCATCAAAACAACAACAAAACCATTTTTTAAATCAAAAACAAAAATCAAACAGCCTTAAAGTTAGGAATACAAAAATCGAGACAAGAAATAGTTTAGATATGATTGATAAAAATATCCCTACTTCTTCTAATAATAGTTATGTTAATGCAATTGGGTTTAAACTTCGTAAAAGTGTTTTAAATCAACATCACCTAAAACTTTTAACCGAAGAAGACGAAGATGAAAATGAAGAGCATGTAAAATATAATAATAATGATAATGGCATTAAAAATATTGAATACGATGGTAAAGTCTATGAAGAAGAAAAGGATGACAATGAAGAAGAAGATGAAATAACTCAACCAATTCAACTAATTCATAATCATAATAATAACAATAATAATAAATATTATAGATCTAAAAAATCAAATGAAAATTTGATAGTGTCAAACAATAATAATAATAATAATACGATATTAATAGAGAAAAAACATGATAATAATAAAATATCATATGATGATTGTGAAAATTGTTCTAATAATTTTAATTCATGGAATTGGTGCCAACCTTGTAATTCAAAGCGTTTTGAAAAATTATTTTCCAATTGGACATCCAACTCATTCATAATAGATAAATTTATACAAAAAACACAACTATCTTCAAAAGGACATTTTAACAAATTAGAATGGATACCATTCGAACGATTTAAAGATATTAATTTAATAAATAACGAAAGTTTCTTGAGTACTGTATATGAAGCTATTTGGATTGATGGTGATATATTGAATTGGAACCACGAAAAAGGTGAATGGATGAGATTCGGTCAGAAAAAAGTCGTTTTAAAAACATTGGAAAAAATTACGATAGATGAAGGATTGTTTGATGAGGTAAAAATGCATAATAAATAATATTATAGTGAACGACTATATACACTTATATACTTACATACACACATACATATAATACTTCATATTAATATTATTTATTAATTAATTGATTTATAGATAGAAAAATGTTTGGCAAGATTGGAATTTGACGAATGTACAAATTTAAATCTTTATTTTGGGTTTACACAAAATCCGAAAACAAAAATATATATGATAGTAATGGATTATGCACCTGATGGAAATTTACATCAATTTATTAAGTCATCAAGCTATTATAAGAATATAAGTTGGTTTGACAAAATAAGCTTGTTGTATAATATTTCATTTGGATTAAAGGAATTACATGATATTAATATAGTTCATGGTAATTTACATCCTGGAAATATATTACAACATTATATGGTACCAAAAATTAGTGATTATGGTTTATTTAAAAATGTTTCTAGGCAAATTTTAAATAATTTTTTGGAAACTTATCATGGATTTATTCAAAATGTAGACGAAATAAAAGATGATGGTGTGAAATCAAAAAAAACTTATAATAATCATGATAGTAGTAGTAGTGATACTAATATGAACAGCTCTAATATGAAAGAAATTAGTGTTTTTGGTAATTTAGCATATATAGCACCAGAAATATTATCAGGAAAACAACAAAAACTTACAAGATCAAGTGATATTTATAGTTTTGGTATTATTATGTCAGAGATTTTATTTGGTAGACCTCCCTACTACAATAGATCTTTTGATAAAGATTTAATCTATTCTATATTGATAAGTAATAATAGACCAATAGAAGAAGAAGAAGAAGATTATGATGATATATTAGAAGGTGGTAGTGGTAAAGGTGGAAGAACTCCAAAATCTTTATTAGATTTAATGAAACGTTGTTGGGATAAAAATCCTGATAATAGACCAAGCGCTTTTGATCTGTGTAGAGAATTTTCGAAATTTGAATGGTGGACTATAGATCAAAGAATTAAAAAATACAATCATGATGACGGTGATGGTGATGAAAATATTTACAATATTAAAAATAATATCAGCGACAACAGCAATAGAAATATTTTGTTAAAAAAATCTTATGATAAAAAGATTCATTATGAAATTCATCCTAAGGCTTGCTATTACAGCAAATTATATATATACAACAATATTTTAGATTTTATTAACAACAATGATTTAAGTAACAAAAAAGATGAATATTACAATCGTGTCATTTCAAATTTTAATCATTACTACAAAGGTATTTTTATTTAATTATTATTTTTTTTTATTTGTTAAAGAAATTGTAAAAAATTAATTCATTTCGTTTCTTTAAATAGATTTTGATAAAAATAGATTATTAAATGAAGATGAAAGTGAAAATGATAATGTAATAGCTGAATCATCATCATCATCATCAACGTCACCATTTACAAGAAGAGCAACAAAAATTATATTTCAAAAATGATAATATCATTTTATATTATTATAGAATTATAAATTAAAAACAATACATGTATATTTTATTTTTTCAATTGTATTTATATTAGTTATTATGTATTATTATTAATTATAAACTTCTTAAAAAATCATACAATATATATATATATATACATAATACAACATTTATGATATGAAAAAGAGCTGATTAATTGATTAATTATTAAAAACAATTCAATTCATACTGCTCACTCATTTGAGATGGAGCTTTTGTGTATGTTGCTTTAGATTATTGTTTCTTGGTGCAAATTATCCGTTCAGTATGAATTTAAAATATGCTAATGAAATTTTTAATATTTTACAAATCTTTTTCAAAAATCTCAATAAAAATTGTTTATAAATCTTGATATAAATTTTAGTAAAAAAAAAAAAAAAAAACTTATCAAAAAGAAATAAATAGATAGATAAATAAATAAATAAGAGAAATTTTTTTTCTTTTTTAATTAGTGTTAGTAGTAATTCTTCTGACTTTATCAATTATCATGCTCAAAGTTTTGATTTCTTCCTCAAGTTTTTCGCGTTTTTCAGTGAATTCTGGATTCTCGCCTAACAAATGATCTAAATCAGGAACTGAATCACTTAAATCGTCGTTTCTATTTGATGTTCTATGTATTATGTCGTCATTTTCTTCTAATGTATCTGATGATTCTTCACGTCCGAGCGTTAAAAATCCAAAATATCTTCTCAAATGTGTTCCGAGTCGCGAACTAAATTTGTGCACCAAATAATATTCGACCACTCGAGGCACAGTTTCACGAAAGCGTGAATGCACCATTTTCCAATAAGCTAGTGCGCCCTATTTTAATCATAGAGAAATATGATAATAATTAAAAACTTTTTAATTTAATAATAATAATAATAATAATAATAATAATAATAATAATAGTAATAACAAATTCTTAGAAACGTTACAGTAGCGGCAAGAAAAGCCTGTTCATTAATCGTGGATGATAAAAGTTCTGAATTTTGTTTACTGTCCGAGTTTTTTGGAACTTTGTTTATGAGTTTTTCTAAAAACATATTTTTAGCCGTGATCATCATCGAAACAGTCGCTGTTGATGGTGTTTTTCCATTCGAGGATTTTATATCTTCAATTAACCGCTGACTAACTTCGTCCTTTGTTTGGTTTTCACTCAAGACCTTGATTAATTCATTTTTTATATTCTCAAAATTTGTAGTATCACTGCTTGTAGGTGTGGAAGACCGATTATTAAAAGCATCAAAATACTTTCCTCCTAGATCAATGATTTTGGTAAGTTTTCCTCTTATCTCTTTATTGGCAGATAAGACTCGCATCTCCATATAATATTTGTACTGCTTTTTTAATAATGTTGCTTCATCCGTTACATACAATGCGCGACTAGCTGACATGTGTTCCATCTTTTCCAAATCGAGAAGTTGCTTTAAAGTTTCCTCCTTACATGATCTTAAAAGGTCTTGTAACGTTGCTCTAAAATATATATAAATTACATATATAAATAAATATAAATACGAGTAGGTTTCAATAGTTTAAACATAAACAAGATTTTAAATAACCCATTAATTAATTAATTACTTGACAGTATCTATAACAAATGGAAATTCAGAGAATTTTTTTTCGACAAAGTTGTCTGTGAATATTCGCACCCATTCAGCGTTTTTATCTAAAAGTGTATGCGAGATCTTATACCATTCTTTCTGATGTCTGGCAACTATAGAAACGATCGCTTTATACGGAAAGTACCCAACTAGCTGACCACCTTGGGCCTCTTGCATTTTTTCACATAATTGTTTCATGTCCCAGGTATACTCGCTTTCGTTGGCTATCAATCCCTCGTCCTTAGACCATTCATCAGCACCAATTTCATTCAACAGTTTATCAGTCCAGCCACGAACTTGTAGTGCACCAGGTCTGATTGGATCAAATTCCTGATTCATTAATTGATTATCAATTGATAAGTTATATCTAGGGCGAGTATTCAACAAAACTCTATCAAATTCTCCGAAATTCCACTGTTGTCCACGATATAAACGGTGATCGATATCATTGGCGTCTGCATGATTAGTGAATTCTTTGTCGAAAATTCCGATTATTTCTATAAATCGGATTATAGGGTTACCTTTTGGTGCTGGTGGTATTGAACTTAGTTCTGCTTCTAACTATATATTTTTTTTAGAAAAAAATAATATCAATTTACCATTTTGTTATTATTTTTACTATCATATCATTATTACCTCGGATCTACGTTTTTGTAAAAAGGGCCTAATTTTTGGCCATGCTAAATCCAAGGCTAACTTTTGCAAGTCACTCAACTTATCAATTAAATGCTTCAATCCTAACCTATTACTAGGCACATTTCTCCAACTTTTATTTAACATTAAATGGCTAAGTGCATTCTTTTCAATAGACTCGTGATCTTCAAAATTTTCTTTAGAGCTGGCAGGGTTCCTCACCACATACACCCCATTAACTAACTGATGTTCACCTTTACCCTCGACAAAATTAGCCAACGCTTTATGTTTAATTTCATCGTCAGAGATTTGATCGATTTTTGTTAGGACACCAACCGTGCGTTTACCGCTAGGATCAGCTTCTTTTGCTAATTTCCAAGCACTTTGTGTCGCTATATCCGCAGTTGCTTGAAATATTGGTAAAAGGATCGTCGTATCTTTATTGATATATTCTTTAACAAGAGAAATGACAAAGTCCTCATTCTCCTGGTTGTCTCTGATAATTCCTTGATAATTAAGGAAAAATATAAATTTTACGATTTTATCGAAAAATATTTGTAATTAAATAAACAAATAATGTTCTCATTACCAGGAAGGTCGACCATGGCCAATGAAAATTTTTGGTTAGGATCACCGATTGTAACGCAAATAGCGTTACGCGTGAACATCAACTCGTCTTTATTACCCAATTCTATAGCTTGATTTGAATAAAGTTTAGAATATGTAATATAGAAAAAATTTAAATATATATAAAATTTTTCAATTGTCTCTCGATATCATCATTAGTAATGTTTTAGGCTTAAGGATTCCTTTAAATTTTCTATTAATAGGACCTCCGGGATCTTCTCAACCCACGCCAAAAATATTTAGCATCATATTTGAGGTCGATAAGAGAGAATGACCCTGAAATTTTCACACTACATCCAAAAATATGTAATTAGTTAAATTGCTAAATCCAAGGCTAACTTTTGCAAGTCACTCAACTTATCAATTAAATGCTTCAATCCTAACCTATTACTAGGCACATTTCTCCAACTTTTATTTAACATTAAATGGCTAAGTGCATTCTTTTCAATAGACTCGTGATCTTCAAAATTTTCTTTAGAGCTGGCAGGGTTCCTCACCACATACACCCCATTAACTAACTGATGTTCACCTTTACCCTCGACAAAATTAGCCAACGCTTTATGTTTAATTTCATCGTCAGAGATTTGATCGATTTTTGTTAGGACACCAACCGTGCGTTTACCGCTAGGATCAGCTTCTTTTGCTAATTTCCAAGCACTTTGTGTCGCTATATCCGCAGTTGCTTGAAATATTGGTAAAAGGATCGTCGTATCTTTATTGATATATTCTTTAACAAGAGAAATGACAAAGTCCTCATTCTCCTGGTTGTCTCTGATAATTCCTTGATAATTAAGGAAAAATATAAATTTTACGATTTTATCGAAAAATATTTGTAATTAAATAAACAAATAATGTTCTCATTACCAGGAAGGTCGACCATGGCCAATGAAAATTTTTGGTTAGGATCACCGATTGTAACGCAAATAGCGTTACGCGTGAACATCAACTCGTCTTTATTACCCAATGTATCAGATATCGGGCTATCTTGTACTTTTATTGATGGATTTAGAACATAACGCTGAGCCTCTCGTAATTTGTCTTCAATCTTTTCATGTTCCATATCTAGAATATCACAAAAATCGATTTCGCTTGGAGACGTTGCTATACGTTTGCTATTTTCCACATATCGTAAAGATATCCTACGAATTGGCTCTTGTGTCTGCATCATTCTAATTTCAAATGGAGTTGCAGTGCACCTACCAACACCTCTGATAATAAAATTTATATAAAATAAATGGTTAATAAATAATGCGTTTAAAATAATTTTTTTACATTAAAATATGTTTATATATTACTTCGGTACAGGAATGCCACCAGTTAATCTTTGCATCAAAGAACTTTTACCAGCGCTTTGATCACCAAATGCTACAATAGTAGGTGTATCATTCTCAAGCTCACTGGTGTACTTGCGGATCTGCACCATTATGTCTACATAGTTCTGTGCATTTTGAGTTTGTGCCAAAGGTGAATCAAACATTTTAGAGGTATTAATTTGATATTTTACGATGTATTTGTATGTTTGATAATGTTCTGCGTGTAATATTTTTTAAAAAGTGAAATGTCTCATGGGATTTTTTATACATACATATATATATACATACGAAATTTACCCGATTGATTCCAAATTTAGTAATTTATTGGACCATTATTCAAAGAAAAACAAGAATTGAACGCATAAACCTGTTTTTTTTTTTTTTTTCTCTTAAAAAAACTTGATTTTAAACATAAACGGAATTAATAATAATACTTGAAAATTCAGCCAAAATAATTGATTTTTTCCATTATATAATATCATTTTGTGCATCATCAAACTTTATTTTTTATTATTGCCAAACTTGACAAGCTTTAATATGGCTTTATATAGACAGTATTTTCAAAATTGCATGCTAAGTAACATTGGCCATTCCTTTTTTAAATATTCTTTGCGCTAGCTTTCTCAACTCTCAGATGATATTTGTGACCCATATACCAATACAATTGGTCTTTGGTTAGGCGTGAATTGTGAATTCTGAATTTATAAAAATTTCCCACACATTTTGACCTTTAAGATTTTTTCCCTTTTCTATACTAAGCAATTGCCCATTAAATGACAAATACTTATAAAACTTGGCGATATATTGCTCTTGACTCAAATAATGTTATCATTTTGTTTGTTCAAACTTAATTTTTTTTTTAAAGTCAATATCGTCGTCAACCTCGGATTTTTCTGGATCAATCAGATTGTACTTCAGATCCTTAAATTTATTATAGTTCATTGGCTTTGTTTGACTATGCGTAATAATAATGGTCCTTAAATTTTACTTTCTATCGAATCACTAAATGGATAAGAACTCTCTTTTCAATAAAATAAATCTGAAAAGAATGCCAACGTGCTTTATTATAAATTTTTTTTTCTTCTCATCTTAAGTAAAAGTCTAATACAAAAAAAAAAGTAAAAGTAAATCGAATAAAATAGCATAAATGTCCATTGTTGGCGTGATAATTTCATCCTTACAATTACTGGGCAGTCTATTTATTATTGCATCCTTTATTTGCAAAAATTTATTCTCCAGAGTTGAGACTTTTAATCAAGATACCACTTTTCATGGACAGGTCAGAACACTAAAGCCAATTGAATCAAATAATGATGCATCTAGTTGGATGCAGTTGCCTCCTTCGCCTATTACACATGGTAATAACCCAGAACCTTATAATCTATTTGTTTTTAATAATGGTGGCGAGGTTGTTATCAAATTTTTTCTCTTAACCTGATAAAATTCTTTGATAATTGTTTTTTATGATGAAATTCTGAACAACTTATATGCTTGTTCATATAAAAACTACTTCCAACTTGGTTGTGCATTGGAGGAAAATCAAAAGTTGGAAAAAAAGGCGATGGAAAACATATGACAAATAAAGTAATTGAATTATTAAAACCCTTTTCATGCAGGTAATCCACATAAAAGTGAACGATATACATCTAAAAGAAATGTTTGAAGAATTGAAGAAATAGAAAAAATGTACATACCAAAGTTAAATTGAAAATTAGGTATTCTAGACAGCAAATAATAGTTTTTTATTACTCTTCCCAAGTGAAAAATTAATTGTCACCAGCATTTACTCAAATAGCGTGAAGCTAAGATCAACAAACCTGTCAAGCTTTAAAGGCTAAACTAAGAAGGTTATGAAAAAGAGAAATTTAAAGTTTAGAGCCTAAGCTACATTGATGTTGGTTTGCTTTTTTTCCATATCCTCAGTTCAAAAATTATTAGCCTTTAAAGTTTGACAGTTTTGTTGATCCTAGATGAACTTGCATAATCGAAAAACGAGTACATACTAATACTAATACTTTCTTCTTCCAATATTATTATAATGTTTTTTTTTATTATGCACATATAGTTACATTTTTTTTCTAATTTATTAAATAAATAAATGCTGCTGTACAATTAAAACCTTAATTATCCTATTGTTGCTAACTATTATTATAAATTTTATTAATAATTTAATAATTATAACGATTCCAGGAAAATATCAAATTTTGGAATCGAATCAAAGACACTGAAATCTAATAATCCCTTTTCTTTATAATGAGTCAACAATTCAATCATTTTAACTTCGTCTCCAATATCATCATAAACCACCTCCTCATCACCATTAAAAATTTCAATACGAATTGGTGCATAGCCAGTCCATTTTTTGAAAAACATTTCTAAAACATCATCTAAAAGTAAACATTTTTGTCTAAATGATAATATTTTTATTTGTTGTGGTAAAGCAGTCATCAAAGCACAAAATAAATCTTCAAAAGTTGGTAGAATATCATCAATCTTTCTCACAGAGATACCTTTTAGTTTTGTACAGGTGTTAAAAATTTTACATAAATCTTTTGCTACATAACTATCATAAATTAGTGACAAGTATTCCAAGTTTGGACAATTTTGTGCAATTGATCCAATAAATTCTTCCAAGAATTCTGGATCATTTGGGTACCCATCAAACTGAATAACTTTAAGGTTCTTGCCATTCAATTTGAAAAATTTACTCAAAGTATATACACAATCTTGTCCATCAAAATTAACATTGATTTTCTCTAGTAAATCAAATTTCAAATTCTCAATGAAAATATCATCAAAATCATTAACAAGATTATATCTATGCAGATTTAAAGATTCAAGGCTCTCAAAGTTTGATAATGTGTAATCCAGATCACAACACCCAATACTAGTATATTCCACTAAATTATTTGCGTGAAGAAGCAATGCCTCTTTGACTAATTTAGGTATGGAGTCATTGGATGTGAAACATAATAATTTCTTTATGTGTTTCTGTGCTCTAATCAATTCAACCAATCCCATATTTGATTTATAATTGTAAAATTCCAAACCAAGTATTTCTATTTTATCAGTAGTTTGTGCCAATAAATGAAACAATCTTGGACTAACATTATCATCACAAGCCAATTCTCTAAGATTTGAGAAACATTGATTAAATTTGGGTTGTTCAAGCAACAAAAAATGCTCCAAATAATGTAAGAAAATTCTTTCTATTCGGGAATTAGTCATGATAAATTTTACTAATTCTTTAAGTAACAAATACCACTTTTCTTTCTTCACCACCTCAATCTCTTCATCAATCAAATCTAGACTATTATCATATAATGTATCTTCCATTCGTAGTTCATTAGCAAATTCTGAATAGTTGCATAGTAGTAGTTTATCATCATCCAATACTTCAAATGATAGTTTGATATTATTTTTCACAAAAAAATCTTTTGACTCCTTTGATAAACACCTGATCATTGTCTTCATGCTATTTTTTGAATGGAATGGATCTTTCCATAGTATTGGTGCAACAGTGCGAAACCAACTTCTACTCACAAGTATACATGAATAAAGTGTCTCGTAATTATATTCTAGATATTCAAATATATGATATATACAATCAAATGGTAATTTTTTAAAAATCATTTTTAAATTTCGTGTAACTTTGATGTCATCAATTTAAAAACAAGCCTCTAATTATTTTACAAAGTATATTTTTCAATTAGAATGAAAAATAATAATGTTTCACCAAAAAATAGACAATCTCCTTCTTTTACCAAAGATATACTTGACTTACGAAATTCAGAATATGATATTAATATATATTTAGCATTAATTAATGATAAATTTCGGTAAAGAATATTTAGAAAAGAAACATATTGATGCTCAAGGAATCAAAAGAGTTTGTACAAATAACTTTTTGGCTGAATTAGATGCCTGAAACATAGCAATAGTGTATATAAATATAGTCGGAATTGTTTGAATATTTCAACAATATTTTGAACGTATGCTATTTGATTTATTTTTGAAAATTAATTTCAGTAACCATTTTAATACATAGGTTTTAATGATTAGGGAAAATCATTTTTATTATTAAATTTTTCTAAATTTATTATTTCAATAATAACATTAAATAATTAATTTACAATTGCTATATAATATTAATAGTAGTAATAGTAATAATAATTAATTTTTATCCGATGATAAAGAATGATAGAAAGAATTATGAGATTTCTCAAGATCAAATAATAATTGTCTTGCTTGTTCCTCATCAATTTCAGCACTTGCTTTCATTCCATTCAAAGTAATCAACCAATTTCTAATTTTGGCTTTTCCTTCAAATTCTGGTGGCAAAGATGTCATTTTATTTAAACTCTGCATTAAATTACTTAACAATGGATGAATTTCATCAACTGCCCTTATTCGAAGTTTAAGAACATCCATAACAGTAATAAAATTCTTTTTTTTTCAATTTTTGGATGAGATGGTGAGAAAATGAAAATATATATATTATTTGAAAAAAAAAAATGGAAATTTTTTTATAATGTTAGATAGGCAATACACATAATATATTATACATACACAAAAATATGATGTGTGTTATTAATAATAATTATGCGATTTTTGTTACCTGTACAGTTTCTGCTACATTTTGAGCTGAATTACTAGGATCATGCCCTGCTCCAGTAGAATGTTCAACAGTTGCAGGAACTCCTATCTTAAATCTATTTACTGCTGCAGGACATTCAAGCTACAATTAATAGTTTTAATGATTTGATGTTGATATTAATATCCAATACATTCACAATAATTTGAATTACCTTGTACTCTTTCATAAATTTTTCTACATCAGGAACAGAATCATTAACGAGATTCACGGCTGTTTTATACTGTGCTATTAATTTACCACAAGCTGGTGTATATCTATAAAAAAATTGATTTTTTAATTATTTTCCCTTTCTTAAAATCTAATTCTTTTGAAAAATAATTTATTACATATTTCATTACTCTGTGTGTGGAATTAAATCTCTTATATAAGCTTTTTCTAAATGTTCCATCGTAACAATTATTGCATATAAATCTGATAATAATTCATACTTTTCTCTTTCTTTATTATTTGTATATAATTTGATTTCCTATGGTTTATTACATATTTTATTAAATAAAAAACTTTTAAGCATCATTTTTCAAAGAAAAAAAATAATCTTTAAATAAATATATACCTCATCTAATCCCAGATCTGTTACCATTGTTATTGCTTTGTTATTTATTTGTTCGTTATTTTAGTGAAACATACGTGTCGTGTAACAATCTATTTATCGAATATTAATATAGTCAAAGTTCTCTGTCCCATTGTTGTTCTTCATAGAGAGAGTTCACTATGTATAATAAATAGGATTTTATTTCTGATTTGTCTTTAATATTTAGAACTTGATATTTGCTAAATCAAATAAAATAATTATTATTACAATTGTTATCGGGTGAAAAAAATAAATTATATATATAGTACCATCACGTGACACATCTAGCTGGCTATAACAAACGAAAATTCTCATGATGGGGGTTCAGTACAGACAGAGTCAACTGTAATTCATTCCCAACGATATTCTCCTTTTATCTAAAACATTCTGGTTTTTGAATTGACAATTCAGCATTAGAAAACTTACCAAATGTTTTAGCACATTTGTCATTCTTTCTAGTTCCATTACCACTATTTTTTCCAATTATTCCTTCTTTTAAGGCTTTTAATAAATCTTCGGCAATGGAAAGAAAAGGTGCTTTTCATAATAATTAGCATCAATTTTTATTTTTGCAAATTCTTCTCTAAGTTTCTCTGTTCCTCCAAGTCCTTTTTTAAGTTCCATGATTTCTTTATATTTCGTTTATATCCCCTTTTTCATCACACTAATGGATTTTTATATAACAGATCTTTCTCTATACCAATTTTTATGCCACATATAATCATTACTGTCTATAATGGGCTCTCTCTATAAAAGACATTTTTTTGTAAGCCAAATGGTTCATTATAGATAGTGAAGAGTTGTTTGGTTTTATTAATCTGTCACTCATTCATCAGGAATCTTGTTAAAGTTATAAAATTAATAACATCTATTGTATGGAACATGATTACAGTCCATTATCTCTATAATGAACACTAAATTTCTCTACAATGAACTTCATTTTTATCTCCAATTCTTTTTTTTATATTAATTTCTCTCTTTATAACAAATGAAAACAAAAAAATTAGGTTGGTTATAAAGAGGGTGAACTATAAAAATAAATTTATACAGTAAAAATAAATAAATAGTTTTAATATGATTGAAACTAAATAAAAGTCAATAGTTGGTTCTTAAAAATAAAAAGATAATCCAGGAAATACTTAGCAAAAGGCTTTCTTAAAAAATTCAAAAATGTTCCTTTGCTGTTGATCTTGATACATGTCTTCAAAATTGATCAAATTACTCCCAATATATTCTTGAGCAAGTGAAGCAAATAAACATGATAAAGTCTAGAATTTGGCTTTAATGTTTTATTCACTAGAATTAGAAAAAAAGCCAACTCCTGGTACATAATTGTTCAATTTTCAATAGAAGCATACTTTGAAGAAATTAATGGATCATAATAGATTATTGACAGATTCTGATAGAGCAAAACAAGTTCTATATAGTATTTATTTCAATTATTATAATCGGAGTTTTTATTTTTAAAGCAATAATCTTCCTTAATTATTTTTTCTAGAACAAAAAAGGATAGAATTAAGGTTTGTGGGAATTTTCTGCACCTATATATACAGATGTCTTCTGGTAATCCTATTTCCTCTGGTTGTGGTGAAATAGGATAACCTTATATGAGACAAATTCCAACAGAAAATTCGTCCAAATTCACCATGTAAATCCCCTTTTTCATGTCCAGTACTACAATTGGGAGTTGGAGTTCTAAAAGGTCCTTATGTAACAGATAATAATTATAATGATCTAATTCTGATACCAAAGGTGTTGAAGCACTTTGTAGTAAATGATCATAACCTACTACAGGAGATTGTGTGTTGGAAGGATGCTCCTGGTAAGTTTCAAAAATTGCTTTAATGTGTTCACAAGCACTTTTCTATTTTCTTCTGAAAAGACTGAAGACATTTTAATATGGGGCATGCTGCAACAAAACCAGACAAAGTGAATATTGGTATTACCAAGAATTTCAGGGATCAATATTATTTATTTAATATCACAATCACATTACCAATACAATGTGATCAATGATATTTGTCTAGACAAAAATAGTTAATATGAAGTCAACTTACATCAGTCTACTATGGAACCCAAAAATTATAGCACCATTAGAAATATTTTAAAAAAGGAACAAGGTGAAAAAATTGCTCCTTATATTTTCAAAATAAATGACACTCACACACTTGAAGCTTATCTAAGAAAAGAGAAAATCACCTATGAAATTTACCAAAAATAATAAATGTTAGAAAAAGAAAGCAGGATGAATTTCAATTTATACAGAGAAAAATTACTTTCTTATTTTCAATCAAGGTCATTCTTAGTTTCTTTAACTTCAATTTGAGCAATTTGACCATTCTTTTCCTCTTTTAACTTCTTGTTTTCCTCTTCTAGTTGCTTAATTTTTTCTTCTAAATCCTTTATCATAGCCAATAATTCCTGCTTTTGTTTCTTACTCCACTCTTTGGATTTTTCTTGAAATTTGACTACTTCTTCCCTTTCAATTTCTAAGGCTTCTTCAGTCTTGTTTAGTTGTTCTTGTAGGGAGTTTATTTGTCTTTCAT